ATTAGTAGTAGTAGTAGTAGTAGTAGTAGTAGTAGTAGTAGTAGTAGTAGTAGTAGTAGTATTAGCATTCGTATTAACATTCGTATCAGTAACAATCATATTTTAATAATAGTAATATTATCATTACTACTAATACTACTACTACTACTACTACTACTACTACTACTACTACTACTACTACTACTACTACTACTACTACTAGTACTACTACGACTACTACTACTACTACTACTACTACTACTACTTTTAATTCTACTACTACTAATGATAATAATACTACTACTAATCATACGAATACTAATAATATTACTTACTATTTGTAATAATACTATTTATACTACTGCTAATTCTAATAATCATACTACTAATAATAGTAATACTAATAAGAATGTGGATAATACCACTAATGAGAATATTGATAATACGAAGAAGAGGAGGAGAAGGAGGAGGAGGAGGAGGAGGAGGAGGAGGAGGAGGAGGAGGAGGAGGAGGAAGGGGAGGAGGAGGAGGACGAGGAGGAGGAGGAGGAGGAGGAGGAGGAGGGAAGTGGGGGATCTTGCTAAGACGGAGCTTGCTCGTAAATTACAGTCGCATGTGCATGCAACCCGAGGCGCTCGCCGTAAGCTGCCCTGAAACATTACCCTGGCGACGTAACCAACCCTTGCGCAATGCGGGGCATAAGTACTTCAGGATTGCTACGACGTGGGCGGTGACGTAACATGGACGCATGTGATTTTGCGAGCAGCAATCGGAAGGCTCGCAGGCCCCCGATCAACATATAAGGGTTACGTAATAACAAATCACCCCTGTTGGCTGTGCCATGCGCCCGTTGCATCCAGCATATCCTACAGCAGCTCTTGAGAGCCCCCGCGGGATGCGTGTAGGCTCGACGTTATGGCCATCGCCCGGCACATGGTCTGTTTCACACATCACCCCCGTTGGCTGTGCCATGCGCCCGGTGCGCCTAACGTCTTCCGCAGCAGCTCTCCAGAGCCCCCCAGGGACGGCGAGGTCTCGCTCAGGTCCCCGCGGTGCCTCAGTCCGCAGGACCCACCAGCAGCCCTCGAAAGTGGCGACAGTGTCGCAGATCGCAGCCCCCCAGGGACGGCGAGGTCTCGCTCAGGTCTCCGCGGTGCTTCAGTTCGCTGGCCCACGAGCAGCCCGCGAAAGTGGCGACAGTGTCGCAGATCGCAGCCCCCCCCCCAGGGACGGCGAGGTCTCGCTCAGGTCCCCGCGGTGGCTCAGTCCGCTGAACCCACCAGCATCTTTCGAAAGTGGCGACAATGTCGCGGATCGCAGCCCCCCCCCCCCCCCCCAAGGGACGGCGAGGTCTCGCTCCGGTCTCCGCGGTGCCTCACTCCGCTGGACCCACCAGCAGCACTCGAAAGTGGCGACAGTGTCGCAGATCGCAGCCCCCGAGGGACGGCGAGGTTTCGCTCAGGTCCCCGCAGTGCTTCATTCCGTTGGATCCACCAGCAGCCCTCGAAAGTGGCGACAATGTCGCCGATCGCGGCCCCCCAAATGACGGCGAGGCCTCGCTCAGGTCCCCGCGGTGCCTCACTCCGCTGGACCCACCAGTAGCCCTCGAAAGTGGCGACCGTGTCGCAGATCGCAGCCCCCCAGGGACGGCGAGGTTTCGCTCAGGTCCCCGCGATGCTTCAGTCCGCTGGCCCAGGAGCAGCCTTCGAAAGTGGCGACAGTGTCGCAGATCGCAGCCCCCCCCCAGGGACGGCGAGGTCTCGCTCAGGTCCCCGCGGTGCCTCAGTCCGCTGGCCCACGAGCAGCCCTCGAAAGTGGCGACTGTTTCTCAGATCGCAGCCCCCCCAGGGGCGGCGAGGTCTCGCTCATGTCCCCGCGGTGCTTCACTCCGCTGGACCCATCAGCAGCCCTCGACCATGGCGACAATGTCGTAGATCGCAGCCCCCCAGGGACGGCGAGGTCTCGCTCAGGTCCCCGCGGTGCCTCACTCCGTTGGACTCACCAGCGGCCTCGAAAGTGGCGGCCGTGTCGCAGATCGCAGCCCCCCCATGGACGGCGAGGTCTTGCTCAGGTCCCCGCGGTGCCTCGCTCAGCTGGACCCAGCAGCAGCCCTCGAAAGTGGCGACAGTGTCGCAGATCGCAGCCCCCCAGGGACGGCGAGGTCTCGCTCAGGTCCCCGCGGTGCCTCACCCCGCAGGACCCACCAGCAGCCCTCGAAAGTGGCGACAGTGTCGCAGATCGCAGCCCCCCAGGGACGGCGGGGTCTCGCTCAGGTCCCCGCGGTGCCTCACTCCGCAGGACCCACCAGCAGCTTTCGAAAGTGGCGACAGTGTCGCAGA